AGAATATGGTTACTGGATGCCTGGTAGGGAATCTTCGTATTCAATTTTTGTGGGGACATACTTCATTTCTTGTGCATACAATCAAGTTTTCTTCAGCTTCAGTGGCCCTCCTCCCCAGATAACGTTTAAGCAGGATACTCTTGGTTTTCTTTTTTTTTTTTTTTTTAATTGTCACTCTTCATGGTCAATTAGCAGTTCAAATTACAGAATATGGTTACTGGATGCCTGGTAGGGAATCTTCGTATTCAATTTTTGTGGGGACATACTTCATTTCTTGTGCATACAATCAAGTTTTCTTCAATGTGTGTGGTAGCTAGTTGGGGATTAACTTTGTAAGTTACAGAGATCTTTTTTAAATTATCGGTTATGAGGTTAGCACTCTGGCTGTGAAGAAGCATTTACTTAAGAACATATTTGCAAAGAAATTACTCTTCATATTGGAATGTGTCCCATGATTTAATACAAATACAATGAGAGCAGCTGATTTGAACAACATTTTACCACTAACCCCAGTGAGTAATGCAATCTTCCATCATGGGAAAAAGAAACTCAAGGATTTTGGGGCAGAAGGAAATATACAAGAATTGGCAAAGGTCACCCCTACTGCAAAGCACTATTGCAACCAGCTTTCAAGAAAGCACCCTATCTAAAATTTGATCTCGATGTTTTTATTTTTATGATGTAAAATAGGCCAGTGGGAGGAAGACTATTTTATCCCTTGTTTTTTCTATTTAAGCAAAATCCAGATTAATTTCCTGTTACTAGAAACTGAGCAGTGTTACATTCCAAGTCCTTTTGTTTGCTTCTCAGAAAACTCTAAATTTATAGGGTTTTTTTTTCAGATGGAACTATTTCCAGAAAAACAATAAAAATCTGTTGGACAGTGAAAATCTTTCTCAGCAATGAGAAAGATTACTGAAAAAAAAATAAGTTTTCATGCAGTGTTATCTACACATAGACATAAAACCATACTCATAAACCAAAGATTTTTATCTCTTTTCTTCCAGCTTTTAGTAGAGTGAATAAAAAAAAAGTATTACAAATATTTATTTCATAAATCAAAAGGACCAACATCTAAAGCAAGGGTCCAAAACCAAATGCAATAATATAAATGTGTGAATTGGGGCAGAGTGTATGTAACTAATCTGATTTTAGAAAGGGAAAAAGAGCATTGTGCCCACAACTTAAATGATGCTCCCAAATAAAAACCTCGCACTGTAATATTAAATCTTTCCCTTCCTCTATACACAGCAGTATGTTTCTGGTATAGTCTGTAATAATAATGGAAATCTGCTGGTTTGAGAACACAATGCAGTTCTGCTTGTAAGCCTTACTATTTTATTTCACCGGGCAGGGGTATGTCGAGCAGTGTGTTTTGTGGACAGTTTGAGTTTGTAAGGCCAACCACAAAACATTCCGATTCTTGTTCATCATTTGAACACCTGCTAGAGTGCAGATATATACAAAGTAACAACAAACATGTTATAGTGAAAAATTTTGAGATGGTGAAAGTTTCTTTTCTGTCAACTAAAATATGGAACAGAAGAGTGAATTATACTTGGCTTTAGGTCTGGAGTAAGTCCTCTCACTGGGTAAAATAAACCAGAGAACCAGAATGTGTTAAATTTGGGTCAATTGATCCTCTTTCGCACAAAAAGAAACAAAACAAAACAAAACAATTTCAGAATATCAAAGTTTAGGAGAGTTGTTTGTCCTTAGAAAAGACATCATAACAATCTTTTGCTTTTTCCTAAAGTCACTTTGAAGCAGGACTAGGAATACTCAGAGTAACTTTGACCAATGGCATGTACTTCACACTGTCCTCCATGTAGCTACTGATTTGTATTTCATTTTACAAGATGGTGTTTGTACGCCTGTTAAGGTGAAGAATAGTATATCTCTGTTTACTACTCTCCCACCAACCTGATAAGACTGAGAGAAAAATAGGTGTGAAATCTTATCTTCTATCTGTGCCAGACCATCACTTTGGAAGTGTATTTTGTAAATTCAGCTATAGGTTAGTGTGTGTTGGTTCCCTTTAGTTAACTTAGCCTGTGTTGATGTCTCTTTCCTCCTGGTCACATTTAAACCTTCCTAGAGTATAAAGGGGTAAGTAGGGAGGAGTCTAGAAAACAAGCAATATTTTACTCTCAATGTTATAGCTTTTCTAGCTCTCTTAGTGGGGGGAAAAATTAGAAAATTGAGTAGAATTTGGCCTGGGGTCAATAAATGATATAACAGTGTGTGATCTATGTATGTGTATGTGTATTTCTCCAAAAACATGATAAAACCAAACTGTCACTCATTCTGATCCATATTATTTTCATATAAACTGTCTACCATGGACAAGAGAAACTTCCCGCCTCCCTCTCTCAGCTCCTTCTTCATGCTGCCCCCACAGCTGAGGTTGATGAAATCTTCTCAGCCTCAGCCTCAGAACTAAATATGGCCGAATTAGTTCAACATACAGGCCAAATATAGTTCACATACCCAAATTTAGTCATATGAATGTTGAGAATAGGGTTGCAGCTCTCTGTTTTTTGAATTATTAAATTATACATTGGTAAAAATTTATATGATTATTGCTTCACCTAGCTAGGCTGCTAGACAGATGATGTTCTGAGGGTACCACCAGGTAATGGAACAGGTGGCTGACAAAGAGGATGAGCAACAAAGAAAAGTAGAGTCTCCAAGAAGCAGCCAGTGGGTTGGGGAAATAATGCTAGTGAGCCAAAATAAGATCACTTTTAGCCAGAACAACAGGTGAACCTTCCAATGTACAGTCCCTTTCACCAAGCTTTCCATTTGGTGTGTTTGATGGAGTTTGGAGATGGGTCACCTAAAGTCTTTCACCTTAGGTAGGAAGGGTCTGAATCTTCCACTTTATGAATTTCATTGCAATTTCATGTCAGCTTACCTGAGTTTTTGCAAAAGAGCTCACCAGAGAACATTGTGGACACCCATGAATGTCCCCCATCTGTTTTGTGAATTTTGTACTAGTAGTAACTTCTGTCTCTTTCTTGGAAATGTTAATGCCAAAGTTGCCTATTTGAGTACTGTTTCTTAATTTGAAATATACGTATACAGAATAATTCCAAAGGTGTTAAGAAATTGTTTATCAGTCTGTGTAGTGATACCATTATGTCCAAAGTCCAGAGAGGCTTCAAGAAATCCTTTGGAAAGAAAAGGTTAAATGTTTACATTAAATGTGATATTTGAGGTCTTAAGATTCTAATTAGCTTCCTTTTCCCTTTTGTTGTTTTAGGCTGCTTCCTGCTTTATAGATAAATAATAGTAGCCCTGAATGTTTCTAGCACTCTAATAAGAAAAAATCCAAATCAGATCAAAGTCAGCTTGATGAGAAAGTGATGACAAGGCATTTTCAGTTTCTGAAAAGAGAAACTGCAGTTAGCTCTAGTTATTGTACTTGTCTAGCATGCTGTCACAGAAGGAATACTCTCAATAATCACCAACAGTTCTTGATGTTTTTTAATGAAGGTTTCTTTTGGAAAAATGTAATTATCCCTTTCTCAAGTTACCAGGTAGTAATTGGCACTGGCTCACTGTGGCCACTTTTAGACCTTCATGACAGGCCAGGAAAAAAACCCTGATTTGCCTCTGTGTGCACATGCCCCTCCCTTCCTCTAGGAGGCGCTCAGTAGATGTTGATGGGGCCTATTTATTCTGTTAGAACTAATGTGATACAGACTCACAGGGAACATCCTTGATGCTGGTTTTCATAGCAACAACTATATGAGAGAACATAAAACAGCATAAGTAGTTGTTACTTAGACCTACAAACTTTAAAAGGAGAGCCTCAGTCTTTTCCCTCTATTTCCAACTTCAGCTCAATCTTTGAAATTGATGGAATAAACCTTTAAAATGGCCACCAGCTAAGAGACCCCATCAGATTGAAAAAATTTTAAGTTTCTGCAGCTGGAGGGCCTATCCTATGAGTCTCCACAAAACAAGGCATTCTCAGGATTGCCTGGGAAGTGTAGGGAGGGAATCTTTAGCCTAAGATCTGTCTGGTTTATTTCATTTACTCACATTCCTTCCAGCCTCCTGGAACTCTTGAAAAAAGGAAGACAGGATGGTGTCACTTTTCTGCTGTTGTGCAGAAAACATCCAGTGGTGTTTGTATCTGCTTGCACCCACACTTCTCTACCTGATTCCTTTTTTCTGAAAAAGTATTGTGCTCACATACACCTATTTTCCTTAACACAGGTCCACAGGCCTGGGCTTCCTATTCTGGTGTATGTCGCTTGGCTTGGAAACCAGGGAGTAACTGTTGGTGTGATTTCTATGTTAAGTGAAATATTTTATTGTATAGAAATCATTTTTCTTCCTTTGCTCTACAGTCATTTTAAACCTGTCATTGTATGCTGTCTTTTAAAAGTTAGGAGTTTTCAAAGATTAGTTGCCAAAGAGAAGTTAGCTCTACAATAGGAACAGGTATGTGGCAATTCTAGAACTTTAACTTCATTCATTCATTTAAACATAAAATATCTTCCAAGTTTGATTTTTCAAAAGTTTCATAAAGCCTCTTGGCTCATGGTTTTCATCAACTATCTCTCTCTCTTTGCCCACATAATCAGTTACCTCCATAACTATTTGTTGTACAAGGGGGAGGTGGTTCGTTTTTTGATTTGGTTTTTATGAAGTCACAGTGAGAAATAGGATAGGTGGCAAAATCTTACTTTTTTCATAAGACAATTCAGTGCTTGAGCATCTCTGTCAGAAATGGAATGATGTACTGTTAGCCAATAGAATTATTTTATGTATTGTAATTGTGTTTTGCTGATTTTTATATGAAAATATAATTATCATTCTTGATCTCTGGAAGCAATCATTACGATGAGGATCATTTTACTTT